ACTTCTAAGGCAAGTACCTCTAAGGACAAATAATAAAGAATAAGAAAGATGCATCCGGTTCAGTTCAAAATAAGTAGTGACATAAATTTAGCTGTAACTTTTGTGAAAATTTTGGATATATAAAGAGAGACTATACTAAATATTACGCTTGGCGTGTAAAGAAAAGTACATTTCTCACTTTAATTTGTTTTGAGGTAAATTTAATGTCAATACTTAGACAACACACTTGGTGGATAAATTTCGGTACTACTACTTACATAAATGTGTCTATGCGGGGTTGTCTGAGTTGTTAAAACTAATTGATACTGAAAGATTCATCTATGTGGGGCGACGGCCAATCAGTTAAGGTAGAGGTTATAGGGGCTTTGGGTTATCTTAAATACTGGTTATTATTTGGACTTGAAAGAGACATTTGCGGTACCACCCTTTTTAGATAGAATTTGGTTTCTATTTCTATATTAGACAAATTTGGTTACTCTTGCTCAATTTGAAATAGTCAGTCTAATCTTTTTCTTACCTTGTGGGCACCAGTTCTTTATCCGGTAACGGTAACCTATATCTGTTTAATACAGTTACCTCTTATAAAGAAATCTTGTATGTGAATCCACGTGGTATTAAACATAAATTAACCAATGAGAATTCTACTTTACTATGGCACAAACGATTAGGTCACTTCTCTCAAAAGAGAATGGAAAATCTTGTGTTAGAAGGAATTCTTGATTTCCTTAATTTTTTCAGATTTAAGTGTTTATGTTAATTGTATTGAGGGAAAACAAACAAGCATAAGGAGATTAGTTGTCATAGGACTTCAAACGTCTTAGAACTAATTCATACGGATATCTGTGGATCATTCCCTTCAACTTCTTGGAATGGTCAACAGTCATTTATTACATTCATAGAAGAATTTTTCTCACTATGGCTACCTATATCTCATCTACGAGGAATCCCAAACACTGGATATGTTCAAAGCATACAATACTGAGATTGAAAATCAACTCAGTAAACGAATTTAACAAGCCAAATCTTACCATAGTGGTGAATATTATGACAGATTTGACGGATTGGGAGAACAATGTCTATGGCCTTTTGCTAAATTCCTAGATAAATGTGGAATCATTCTATAGTACATCAGGATCTTTCTAGGTAGAATCACTAAAGATTGCAGCTTAAATTCTAAAAAACAGTTCCAAGTAAAGCAATTTTTTAAAGGGGTTACAAATTTTTTAAAGATCCCACTATTAAGTCAATTTTCAAACGGGAAATATTCGATTCCTTGAGGATGTAGAGTTTGAGGGGGGAGATAAGGTTATAAGATTAATGATTTTGTCTTGACAATGATCAGGATTAGGGACAAATTCTTGCTTTGGATCTTATTTAAGAAGTAATTTCGAATCAAGACAATATTACAAAATCCTCTATACATAATCAAGATATTGCTCCAGAAAAACAAACTCAACAATCTCAATAATAAATGTCTTTAAGGAAATCTACTATAAAAAGGAGAATGACAATTCTGAATGATTTTATAATCTTTCTCTAAGAAAATAAAGATGTCATAGATTGATGGAAGAATATATCTAATCAATCAACTTTCATCAAACCATATAAAGGAATAATTCTCAAAAGTGGATTGATGACATACATAAAGAGATGAAGTTCATGAGTAATAATGAATTTTGGGAACTCATCACATTGTCTGAAGGTGCAAAGTTCATTGGTTGTAACTGAATATTTATAACCAAAATGGATTCGAAAGGTGATGTTGACAGATATGATGTTAGTCTTGTTGCAAATGACTTTACTCAAAAGGAAGACATTGACATTAAAGAAAATGTTTCTCCGATTTCTATGAAAGACTCTTTTAAGACTATTATGGCATTTGTGACACATTTTAATGTTAAGCTACGTCGGATGATTTGCAAATTAAAAAAAATCTATCTATGGGCTTAAGTAGGTTTTTCGTCAATGATATCACAAATTTCATCAAGTAATTATCTCATTTGATTTTGAGATGAATTTATTTGATAATTGTATATTTCACAAGTTCAGTGAAAGTAAGCATATTTTCCTGCTATTGTATATCGATAACGTACTGCTTACCTTCAATGATATGAACTTATTTCTGTCATGGAATTTTGAAATGAAAAATCTTGGTGACGCCTTTTTTGTATAAGGATATAGATACACAAGGATTGTTCTCGATGTATTTTTGGATCATCACAAAAGAGTTGTATCGATAAGATTCTTAAAAAATATGGGATGTATGAATGAAAATCAAGTGATACCCCTACAACTAAGGGAGACAACTTTAGTCTCAATCAATGCCTTAATGATGAATTTAAAGAAAAAGAAATACAGAAAATTTCATATACTTGAGCAGTTGAGAGTTTAATAAATGATTAAGTTTGCACATATTTGGACATAGTATTCATTATTGGAATGCTAGACACATATTTAATTAACTTAGAGATGGAAATCTGGAAAACAGTCTTTAGGTTATTCGGTATCTGTAGAGAACTAAGAAT